TTCTTACTTTGTTCCTTATTAAAAGCCCCAACACTAGCTACCTGACACCACTGAGCACACTGTCACATACACAGTTGTCTTAATCAGAAGGAGAATCAAAAACTAGGCTTTATTCTTTTGGGGGAAAAAATAAAAATAACTGAGAAAAAGGCATTACCTTTATCATAGTTACGACTAGCCCCACTGAGATCCATGATAATGTTTATCCCTGTGCAGCTGGTATTTTTTAATTGAATTTTTAAATGTGACCAGACTGTGTCGCTTTTGTCTTTCAGTCTTCAGGTAGTAAAGACAAGGTCAGSAAAGTTTCTGATTAATGTGGTCTTTAGCTCTGCTGAGAATAAAGACACAGCTTAGACTCAGTTGGCGTCAGAAAGTTTCTTCGTGGCCTTTTCACTCCRAGTTGATTTCACACAATTAAAAAGGAGAAAAAAATTTTGGGTCTCACAAGATGCAAGAGAGAATAAAAAGAAGAAACAGATAAAGGMAGCTGAACCCAAAGCAATGCATGGCACCCTCTGAAAGCCAAGGAACTGTAAATTAGAGATGCCTTTGAACAGGGTGCTGYACACCATCCATCCCAGGTGGTGCTCGCTGGCACACCTTTGTGAGTGATGCCAGCAGAGCTGCTGCCACATCACCTGTAAGGGTGAGGGGGTATCACCATAGCCCTGGCACTGGACCTTCTAAAGGACATGTCAGTTCCATGCTCCACACAAAGATCACTCCTGGGGGTACGTTCAGCTCTCCTTCCTCTGACTGCCACCAGCCCCAGTGAGGCCTGAGCCCTGTGGTGAGTTTCCAATACCTACCAGAGTGAACTGGGAGTCACATTTCATTAATTCAGGACATGGTCCACCAAAACCAGTGGAGCAAGACACAAATGACACCAGATGTCAGGAACTGGATYTCTGTCATGCAAGTGCCTTTTCCTCTGATAACACTTAAGAGCAGAAAAAACTGAAGCTTTACCTTGAAGTGAATTCAGCTGCAACAAAGTTTGCCATTTTCTTGTGGCTTTAAACTGGCTGAAAGCTAGTAATCCAGCTTCTGGCCCTGGTTTACTGAGATTTGGGGGGACACAGACAATCTAGCACTGGATGTTTCTCTGTCACAACTTAGCAGGAGGCTGGGATTTTGTCTAGGTTGGGGATCATTCCCTGACATTTCTTTCCATGACCAAAATGGGCTGGAGAATATAAGCTAGTATAAGCTAATATAAGCAACTGAGAGTAGTTGCTAGAAATGTGCTCATGTTATTAAAATTTGGAYATGCATCTCAGGAATCACAGTAGGGCCTACACAAATCCTAAGAAAGAAATTGGAAGAGTTTGGAAGGGCACCTTTCTCTTCTGGTTGATCAGCATGGTGGTGTAGCTGTACAAGTCTGAGACACTGTGGGCTGGTGATGGCAATTCAAGATTTATCAGCTGCCTGTGGTTGTTTGTCAAGATGTCCAGCAGGATTCCGCTGCTGTTTGTAAGCTATTTAATGCTGTGCCTAATTTTAATCTGCAATGTACTGTTTGTCCACATCTGTTGTATTAAAGTGTTCATTAGCATTTAAAGAAGGAGCGGATGGTATTGATCATGCCTATTAAAATTAAACAATCATGCATTAGTGACTGATTAGAAATCCTTTTGCTGCACCAGCATTGCTGGTTAAAGCAACAGTGAGTAAACTTACAAAAAAATTCCCGGCAAGATCTAGTTTTCCATCTTGTTTTTACCACTTTTAATGTGGCTACTACCTATCTTGGTGTTAATTCATTACAAATAAAAATGTACTTACATTTTCACACAACTCCCAGTATTTTACAAAGCTGAGCCTTTTTTTTTTTTCATGTTTTATGAACATTCAGCTAGAAGACCATGCACTTCAATGTGTGAAATCAGACTGTCTTGGCCGGCTACACCTCAAGAAATGCTCTCTGGAAAGGAGCCAGGCTATGTTCACTCAGGGTTTTCTTGCAAGCCTGTTCAAGCCAACCATGTTTAAGTACCAGTGTGTCTGGATTGGCAYGCCAGGAGCTGGAAACACTGCCCTCCATCCACACACAAATCCTTGGCAGTGCTGCAACTGCTACACCCTCCCTCCATGGCTGACTCTGCAAGTGGCACAAAATGCCACTGCTGTAGAGCTGCCCCTTGGTTTCCTGGCTTTTCTTTCTCTTGGGCTTCATATCTCCATGCATGGATGTTGATGTCTTCTTAATCCCCAAAAGGTACCTGCATTTTCCTCTTCCAGGGTTTAAAATGCTCTGAATTGTACGAAGYGAGCTCTGAGATGCCTGTGGAATGGAAGATGAAAAATAGCAGAGACCTCATGAAGGCAAATTCAGAACTGGACATCCAAGGCGAGTGAGTATTTGCATCCAATTGAGAGAATGTTTACAAACTCAGATACTTTACAGGCTTTACCTCCACAGCTGATGTCTTCATGGCATAAACCAAAAGATTTCTTTCTTTTTCTGCCAACAATGTGGTTCAATTTTTTTCAGCCTTCAGCAGGGGGGTGCCAGGGCCCCTCTGTCTCCCCATGTGCACCCTGCTCTCAGTGATGCCATGCCAGTGGAGAGGGCACTGTCCTGCTCTCAGGAACTGTGGTTTGCAGGGCTGGGGTTCACAGGTAGGGTTCATTCCCATGAAATGCTAGGCAAAGCAAACACAGTCCCTGTTCTGCTGGGAGGGTAAAGTGCCTATTTGTGCCTCCCCCCGCACTGCCATGACTGAGCTAGTGCCCCATGAGAACCTGCTTTCTTGCTGTGAAATGGGGATGGGTGCTTTTGGACATGGTTTACTTTTTTAAGAAAAAAACTGGCTACTGCAATTTTATTTTTCTATTTTATCTGCTCCCACGGATTATCTTCTAGCAGCTGGCCATGTCTGACCACAATCTGGCAACTTGCTCAGCTGATTTAAGGAGCAGAGGTTTCCTTGCTCAAAGCCAGGGCACCYCTCACCTCTGTCCTGCTCTCTAGCTCAGCCAATGCTGCTTAAGAGCAAGCCCCACATGATTTTAGACTTTGTGTATCTTGCAGACTTGCTGCCAAGAACATTGGACTATGCATCAAATATACCAATTGATTTTTTTGATTGGGCTAGAGAATGCACTTTGACATAATAATAATAATTATCATTATTACTTTAGGCTGGGAAAGACGGGCAGTGACTTATGTAACTGTGGAAAAACTCCAAACTGAGAGACCTCCTGGCATCTTGTGTCACTAAAYGGAATCAAATAGCTGTGCTACTTCTGAAAATTACATCTGACAATTATTTTCTATATATGTGTCCACCATAGAAGGGTTTTTACATAATATTCTTATCTAATGAATTGCCAGTGCTTAGCAGTTCAAGCCAGTTTGTTGCAAAAAGTTAGAGGTTAGAGAGGAGAAGTTTATTATGGCAATAGCACTAATGATGGTCTGCCAAGATCACGTTTGAGTACACATAAATACAGGGCATTTGAGATAGCAGCTCAGAGGACAGAGGAATGGCGCTGGCAGGCAGTGGCCTGGGAGAAAGGCGATCTGGGGCTGTGCAGCTCCTTTTTTTCTGAGGGGCGCCTTCTCCTTGTCCCGCTCACTTCCTCCCTCCTGAGAGAGCTGCCTGGGGAGAGAGATCCCTGAGGAGAAGGTTGTGCCACCACCTGTCCTCCCACTCCCGTYCTCTCCCAGTAGCCACATCTTGCTGAAGGCTTGTAGAGGCAAAGCAAATCAACGTTTGCAAAAAGGCAGTGGCAAAGCTTATATAAAAGTGCAAAAAAACACACTGCAGAAAGTATTTTTGATTATTTCCCGATAACCTTCTGTTTCCCACAACTATACATTTGCAGAACATTTCGTAAATGATTTCTTTATGATGTGACTAAATGTAATTTTCAAAGGGAAATACAAATCAAAGCCCTGCAATGAAAGGGCTGGGATCTTGAGCTTTTAAAAGTGGCTGCTGCATATCAAAACCAGCTACTTTCCATCAACATTTTTTGCTATGCATTTTGTGGTATGGCTACAGGATACTCAAATGACCATTGTAATTACACTCCCATAATGTGTATTATAATGCTCTGGCATTATAATGGGCTCCAAATGATCTGCTATGACTTATAATTGGAATAATCATTAAGGTTTATAACAAAACTGACCACACTTCAGCCATTCTCTTAGTGCACCAATGAATGCAGATCAACAGCACTTTTTCTGTCACTGATTTGTATTATTCTTTTGGTTTTTCTTCTCTTTCAATTTTTGTGGTCTTGCCAGTTGGTGTTAAAGAAACATATATCAGATATATCAGACCCARTATGATCACCTTCAATTCAACATGCAGGATGCATTTGCACCCAACCTTTACTAACAAGAAAATTACAGCGAAGAAAATTGTGCAAGGAGATACAAACCTGTTAAATTAAAAGGAGAAAATCTATTTCTCCTTGGAGAGAGAACAAAAGCAAAAATATACTAATTTAATTGTGGAGCTGTTTTCTAGAGCTGGTACAGTTGGTCTTGCTATGAACTGATTGTACATGTTAAATATTTAAACCTGTATTTATTTCAMAAAATCTGATTCTACCTATCAGAGCACAGTGTTGAATTATTTACATTTAAAAATACCCCATAAAAATTCATGGCCAGCAAACATGTAGAGGTCTACCTATAATTAAATCTCCAAAAGTGGTTATCCTCCTGCTTTTATATTAGAACAAGTGTGTCCTTTCTGGATTGTAATCAATATCAGGTTACCTGATTATACACCTTATTATGTCTTGTATAGTAGTGTGAGCCACTGGAGGGTGACATGTGAACAAATAGATATGCTTGATCAGATCTTTTCAAGAAACACACCTTACAGGAGAAAGAAAAACAATTAATGTGCGTTATAGGTTACCGATTTACAATTTACATTTTACAATTTACAATTACAATTTACAATTTACATCATAAATCAATGTCTGATTATTTTAATGCAAAATGTTTTTAGCTTCATTTTATTGTACTAATGGTTTCAATAACACACTATAATTTGCTCAGATGAAGAGGTGATTGGACAGCTCTCACAGAAATTTTTAATTACTGTCATTAGTGGCTGCAATCCTATTCTTTTCCCTGGTGCTAAGATATGTGTGGCATTGTGGCCGTGAGAATCCAAACTGTCCCTTTCCGTTTAAATGCTTGCATTTATAAATATGTGCCATTGTGCAAGTCTCATCACAATAAATACTAGATTAACATTAACATTAACTAATGTATCCAGATGCTATTTTAGGCAGGTGTGGAGGTCCATCCCCACACTTGGGCCATACTGTGATCTCAGAAATACTCATTAAGCCTTGGCCTTGACAAAGACCACAAGGGCTARGCTCCTCTTGAGCTTATCAGAAACACTGTCTGCTCCCAGGAGCTTATGCTTTCTAGTTAAGGCTGTTTTTAACAAACAGCCTTGAAAACTGATTTTTSTTGCCTGAATAACAGCCCAAGTGGGACAACATTTTTTGTTACCAGACTTTCAAAGAAAATTATTGACYTAAATTGTGGCCAGGATGGAAAATTATTATGACTAAAGTCAACTCTTTTGTGGCCCTATAAAGAGCAGTCCTGAGACCCTTTGAGCCCTTCTGGACAGCAGCTACCTGTGACCAGCACCTCCCCGACWGGGGTCTCTCACAGCCAGCAAACTCTCACATTTGCCATAGTTGGGGGACCACCACTGATTGCCAACARTGGAGCCTGGGCTACCCCCACTCCTCAAGCCTCAACCCTTTGCCCGTTGAGAAGATGCAAAGGCATCTGATGTGAGTACTTTGCTGAATTCAGAAGGAATTTTTCAAATATATATACCTTGTGTGTACTCCTTTGATCCGTGTGAGAGTGAATATGCTGTGGCCAATGTACTATGAATGCTGCTCTCCTAGATTACTAAATACTTGAGATACTTAAGTAAGTATGGCCTGTTACTGAGTAACTGTTGTGCTGTGGTATATTCTGTAAGAATCTTTTGTTATGTTGTTTATATTATGGTATTGTGTTGATTTTGCTTGGCCCAGTTTTTGGAAGTGGGGGGCCCAAAAAGATAGCTCCTGTGAGAAGCTTCTGGAGGCCTCCACYATGTCCAGCAGAGCYARTTGCTSTTSGCTCTGAGGATGATGGACATGCCACTGACCAAACCTGGGCMAAYTGGAGATGGTGGTTACGCCTCTGTGAAAACMTATTTAAGAAGAAATCAAAACAAAGGTGGGGGATACAGTAGCTTTGCCAGTGGAGGAGGCTGAGAAGTATGTGAGGGAATGCAGACACCAAGGTCAGTG